GAGACAATGACATCACCGCCCGCAGCCTTGAATGCCTTGATGTTATCAATGATATTCTTGTCATCGATGGCCACCTGTCCGCCCCACATAGGACTGCAACCGGCAGTTCCTCCCAATGCAAAGGCCAGGGAGAATGCTGTCACTCCGTACTTGTTCTTAAGATCTGTTAGTTTGAAGTCATTCGCTGCCGTCACATCAATATATGGCGCAAACTTTGGCTCTGATTTCCAAAATAAAATTTTAGTGTATTAGCAAAAATGGGTTCAATTTGTCAAATACCTCTCTTGGCCTCAATTAACACCACAGCCGACAAAACACATAATACTAATTGTAATTTCATTTTATATAATTTATATATTTATAATACTTTATGATTGAGAATTAATATGAATGTAAAATGAAACAAATAAAGAATTAGATGAGTGGTTAATAATTGAACGAAAGGTGCTTTTATATACTGGTAATAAATGAAGCAACAAATGTCTCGATTATTACTTCACGTACTGGTAATCTAATCTCTAGACTATATAAAATCAATAACAATTGTTATATTTGATTGTTTTATCTAAACTAAGGCAGTACAATTTACGTAAATTTTACTTTTAATAGGATTTTTATGTTCCTTGATAATCAGTTCATTTGTAGCAAACATAGAGTTTCTCATTAGGAGAAAGTCTTAATAGAAAATAATATTTAATTTATGATTTCTTAACAATTATTAATCTGTTTTTTCTAATCATTGTCTTAGCCATTGAATGTCAATCATAAGAGCATTCATTTAATAACTTATGATAAACTCAATCATTTTTAAAGTTTCAAAACAATTTTTTAATTCCAAAAAGTCATAAAATATCAAGATCAAATTCATTCTAATATGTATTCTAATGTGTTTTAGATTTATAAAGTATAATCTAAACTGTATGTAAAAAATATTCAGGAACATTAGTCCATTATAAATTCTAGTTGAATCAATAAGCACTTATTATAAGTTTATATTGAAATTGTTAGATAGTTTCAAACATTCAATTATAAACTCTGCTCTAATTATCAAAACTTTGCATTCATTCAAATGTATTCATATAATATATTACAGTATTGCTTAAGAGATAAGTTTATGAGTTTTCACACCACTTATCCTACAATTAATAACACTGTCACCTAACAATTAATAAGTGTCCGCTTTTTCACCAATTAAAGCAAACGTGCAAATGTGCTTGATCAATGATCAATGATCATTACTAATTGACTTTTACATAAAGTAAAGTTTCTCAAAGTTTGCGATACCAGTGGTGCCACTGATTCAAAGTGAGCGCACATTCACTCTGCCATCCATTGCATCATTCTATATAAGCACAGCCTATGAGTGGATATTGTGTGACAATGTGGTGATTGTGGGCAACGAATCACACGTTCACTCAAACTGTTTGACTGTTTGAGTGAACACTTGAGTCAAACACTACGACCACTCACTCAATGACACGAAACACTAGTCTTCAGCCGTCACTCAATCGCTGATCCATTCATCCATTTGTCAGACAATTATGTTTTCATTCATTAAATCTATCGCTGGTTTCGGCGCTCAGGGCCTCAAACCCAGTGAAGGCGAAGACCTCATCAAAGAGCAGCTGAACGACCATTTGGTGGACAATGAGAGCGACGACGAGAGTGTGGGTCCTCTCGATGACAACTCATCCATCAGTAGCTCTGACATCGATATATCGGATGTGGAGGACGGCCACGAAGACCGCGGACCCACTGATCCCGCGGAAGGCGAAGGCGTTTGGAACGACGAGTGGNCGATCAGGAACTGTACTCTATGTTAGGGGTGACCCCAATGTTGGGCAAGAACTTCAACGGCAAGATCTTTAACCAGGATCACGCCCGACAACTCGTCAATTGGGCCAAACAGAAACAGATCGGACACCTGTCCTTCTGGTCCATCAACAGAGACAGAGGCTGTGCGGGTAAACCCGTGGGCCCCACCTGTTCCAGCATTTCTGAACAAGATCACGAGTTCACTAAAATATTTGTTGGTTTTAACCAATAATTCATTCAATAAAACTTATTCTTAAACATTAATTACTTTTTTACTTTCATTCAAAAGTTATATAATTGTTATTCAGTTACCGTAAGAACATATTTGGATTTATTTGTGTAAATGTTTTATTAATTATTTTATTTCTGAGACCCCATCTGAGGATTGCATGGAAATTGTTTTCATAAAATAATACCTTTATGTTATCATAAGATTAGACATATTCCCACCATAATTCGTACCAAAGATTATTTCTACAGTACAATAGTGTATACAGTATTATGGACATTTATATAGCAAGTTTAACAAATAATTTAACAATAATTGTAATACAATCATATTTCAAAATAGGGTAGAAATCATTGCCATTTAAGGTCAAACGGAATGACGAAAAATACATTTTTCACTCATAGATTAGATATTCTGATAAATGCTATATTTGTTGAAACTGTTTATTCTCAGAATATTAGACTAAAAAGTTATGACTACGATAGGGTACGGGAGGGATTCGTGATTTGTAATCACTGATTACATAAAAGGTTTAAAATGATGGCTTAATTGTTAATGACATCTCAGACATCAAGTCTATTAAATAATGAGTAAAATCATTTGACTTGAAAAATCTTTTGTTTTGAAAGCATATGAAGTGTTTCTCAAAAGAAAGATAAGATTGTGTAAAGAAGTAATCGTTTGATACCTTATATAAGCATTGAATAAATAAAGAGTTGAGTCAATTTTATAGTCATTTGATTTTATTGCACAATTGAAATATTAATTCATTAGTCATTCAAATACACAAAAGTTATTTGAAATGAAATTTGAATTAATATTAGCCGTCATTTCAATTGTGAGTTTAATTGAAGCAAAGAGGGGTAAGTAGTTGACAGGAATTCATATGAATTCTTGCATTTCTTCACTGAATACTAAAAGTTATTTCCAAATTCAGAGCCAAAGTTTGCGCCATATATTGATGTGACGGCAGAGAAAGACTTCAAATTAGTTGATCTCAAGAATAAATATGGAGTGAAAGCGGTGTCGTTGGCATTTGCTTTGGGGGGAAACCAGGGGTGTGTGCCGATGTGGGGCGGGCAGACCCCCATCACTGAACCCAATATCATCAATGAGATCACGGCGTTTAGGGCGGCCGGCGGTGATGTGATTGTGTCGACCGGAGGCGCTTTGAATCCATACCTGGAAACGAGCTGCGGTTCATCCGGAGCTCTGGCGGAGGCTTATAAGAAAATCTTATCAGTGACCGGATCTACTCATCTGGACATTGATATCGAGGCCACTGTTCCCACAGATCTTATGAATCAAGCGTTGGCTGCCGTTCAGAAAGCGAACTCCGCGGTGACCGTCAGCTATACCCTTATGGTTCAGGGGGACGACTACGGAGTGACGGATGAATTGGGATTCAAAGTACTGCAGAGCGCGGCTAAAAACGGAGTAAACGTCGATATCGTGAACCCAATGACAATGGAGTTCGGGACACGACTGGCCTCGTGGGGCGACGCCGTCATTGCGGCCGCGGAGGCCACACATAAACAGATGAAACAGGTTTGGCCTCAAAAGAGCGATCAGGAGTTGTACTCCATGTTAGGTGTGACCCCAATGTTGGGCCACAATTACAACGGCAAGATCTTTGAGCCAGCTCATGCCAAACAACTGGTCGCGTGGGCTAAACAGAAACAAATCGGACATTTGGCCTTTTGGTCGCTCAACAGAGACAGGGGTTGTCCGGGCGGAGGTGTCAGCCCCTCGTGCTCTGGAATAGCACAGGAAGACCACGAGTTCACTAAGATTTTCGTTACATTTGATGACGGGTCACATCCCGACCCAACCGATGATCCGCAGCCGTCAACAACACAACAACCAGTGACGGGTCCCACCGAACCCACAACACAGCCAACGCATCCGACTACCGGTCCAATCGACTGCAGTATCCCTGATAAGAAATACCCGCACCCGACGGACTGCAACAAATACATCTGGTGTTTCGATGGACTGCCTCACGAGGAGTCATGTGGGGCGGGAACCGTATGGGATATCATTCATCAGGACTGCAATTACCCGAAGGACGCCGGCAGACCTGAGTGCATGTGATGTCAAATGCTTTTTAGATAAATATATTAAAATTATTGTAATATTAGTATTAATAAATGAATTAAACAATTCATACTTTGGCTCAAAGTTTGGCTCAATTTTATTACAATTGATATTTAATGGAATTGAAAACAAATGCTCGTTTCATTTATAACATAACAATTCAAATGAATAGTATTTTAATAATAACTAGAAATGTCATCAATAGATACGACTGTTTTTATCGCTGCCTTTCTTAACAATAAGTTATTTAATAAATTATCGACAAAATTGTCAAATATATTGAAAAAAGCTAAAGACTAGACTTACGAATGCATTACAAATTCAATACTTATAGTCAATAAAAATAATAAAACATTTTACATAATTATTTGTTTATAAATTAATAACAATAAAAAATAAGTGAAAAATAATTATAAATAATCATTAATTACAATATAAATGATCGAAATGTTTGATAATAACTTATTATTAATAAGTATAAGACTATAACAACATTAAAAATACGTCAATAGTTAAGGATAAGTGTCAATAAAATCGTTGTTTTCTTTTTAAGAGAACATAAGCTTTAAGTTTATCTAAAAAGAGTTTATTTTAAGCTTATATTGTATTTGGAAATGATTTAATGACAAAGTTTTGTGCAAAAAGCCTTTCATCTAATCGTCAGTTTCTGAATCCTTTCGTTTACTCTGAACAACCATTTGTTGCAATTCCAGTATATGTTCGACCGGATGAGGCTTTCCATCCTCTCCCACACGGCATGGCTTCACAACCCCTGTCCTGCAAATTCAAACCACAATACTATTCAAATCCACTCAATAATCGATAGCAATATATGAAATCTTTTCTCGGAAGTGATAACAACATTATAAGCAAACAAAAACACATACTTTGCTAACTTATCGATCATTTCAACCAAACGAATGGCTTCGTACTCCTTCTGCTCTGCTGTCATACCTGCCATGGGATCCGGTTTTGGCTCTTCATAACAACCCGTCACCGGATTTATTCTACATACTTTGCTAACTTATCGATCATTTCAACCAAACGAATGGCTTCGTACTCCTTCTGCTCTGCTGTCATACCTGCCATCGGATCCGGTTTTGGCTCTTCATAACAACCCGTCACCGGATTTATTCTGAGAAACATTCAAAACATGCCATTCATTAGAAAAACAAATACAACACTCACTGATGGTCTCAAACACTCACTTGTCTTTGTATTGGGAATACTCTTCAGTGTCGCTCTCTTCAGACTCGGAGGAATAGTTGCCAGTATTGCCGGCGCCGCCTAACATGAGGCCCCGATTGGCCAGAAGTCCGGCCGCATTGCCATAACCGGTGTATTTGATGAGTCGCGAGACATTCTCTTTGCACAACACGAACAGGAAGTCTGCGACCAGTTCTTTGACTTCAGTGTGCGGTGATGTCATGAGTCGCACCAATCGGTTGCGAAGTGTGGTCCCCTCTTCGGGCCGTTCCTTGACATCCTTGAGCGGCGGCAATATCTTGAGGCGCAGGTATTTGCGAATCGTCGCGTTGGCCCGGGAGGCCTCACTCAGACACGTCAGCACCGGCGCCAATCGCTCTCTGCTATTCTGGACCGTATGCTAGCCATACAAACACACAATTCTCAGTAATCACTCAATTATATCACAAGTTATCACAAAATGAATGAAACAAAAAAACAAAACAAAAGCAAAATTACATTTCTTAGGTGGGAATCAACTATAATCTCAAGTTCCTGGAAATCATTGAAAAATACAAAAATAACAAAATAATTAACACAAACAAATTGAACACAAAACTGAATGAATGAATAAAGTGCTCAATAAATACATTATCGAGTCGTTTGGAGAGGAATTGTAGCAAAACGGCGATCACTTCCACATTCATTTCGTCGTATTCGTGGTCGGGATTGTCGGGTCGACCCATTTCCGTGACCGGCGACAGCAACTCTTCAAAGCTGGGCGCAGGCATTGACGTCAACAGATTGACGGTATGGCTCTGTAGGTCTTCCTTCTTGTCTTTGGATTTGGTGTCGCATAAGAGGAGGTCGTGTAGTATAGACACGAGTCTAAGGAAGTGCGCCTCTTCTATCTGTAGGTGCCGTA